AAAAAAAAAAAAAAAAAGAATAACTCCAGCACCTACCAGAAGGCAGGAGCTACTGCAGATGACCTGGGAAACTGATATGTAAAGGGTGAAATGAGAGGAAAAACTGGTGGGTGCCTTACAGTCCTCATTCTCTGCCCAGCAGTGTGGCCCCAACAGCCATTGTGAAATGGACTGTGAGGTTAACAATGAGGTACGTATGCCCCGCACCAGACTTAGTCTCAAGTGCATCTTCAACCCCAACCCCTAGCCTCTGGGTCTCAGCAGCCCCACCCTGACATTACAACCTAACCAGGATTGGGGGAGGGGTGCCTCCACACACACTGACCAGGGCCTGAAATGGAGGGTCTGGTGCCAACCTCCTGTCCACGTTCCTCCCCTCCTCACCTCTCAGGACCTTCTCTGTGTCCTCATTGATGATGGAGGGTTCCTGGTGCTGTCAAACCAGAACCATCAGTGGGACCAGGTGAGGATCAGGAGGAGGGTAGAAGGAGGGCATATAGGAATTTGAACCTTCTAGGGGTATGCTTCTGCCAAACTTGTGACCATGGCTCCCACCCCAGGTTGGCAGGTTCTTCAGTGAGGTGGATGCCAACCTGATGCTGGCACTCTACAACAACTCCTTCTACACCCGCAAAGAGTCCTACGACTATCAGGCAGCCTGTGCCCCCCAGCCTCCTGGCAACCTGGGTGCTGCACCCCGGGGTGTCTTTGTGGTGAGTCCTCAGAAATGCCTGAAGATGGGAGGCTGGGAGACCTAACCACAGATGACCCCCACCTCCAACATCAGTGAGCTGAGTGTGACCTAAGATAAGGGGCAGCAGTGCAGCCCATGCTCCCCTCTCCACTACAGCCCACCATCGCAGACTTCCTTAACCTGGCCTGGTGGACCTCTGCTGCCGCCTGGTAAGTCCTGAGGAAGGAAGGCAGAAAAGGCAATGCCTAGCCCAGTGGGCTCAAAAAAGTGGGCATGGCCCTGGCTTCCACTGTGATTCGGTGCCCCTTGCCCTGCAGGTCTTTGTTCCAGCAGCTGCTCTATGGCCTCGTCTACCACAGCTGGTTCCAGGCGGGTAGGTAGGGTTTGGGAGACCGGTCCTCCTATCCCTGTCCCCAGTCCAAACGAAGGCGGGCTCAGGGTCTGTGGGCGGGGCTGAGGCGCTCTGGGCCCAGCAGACCTCACCGAGGCTGAAGGGAGCCCCGAGACGCGCGAGAGCAGCTGCGTCATGAAACAGACCCAATACTACTTCGGCTCAGTGAACGCCTCCTACAATGCCATCATCGACTGCGGAAACTGCTCCAGGTGCGGGGCGGGGGGTGGGGGCGGAGCTGGGGTTAGGAAGAGCCCTGGACAAGCAGGTGGAGCGAACCTCCAGGCTCCGCCTCTCGGTGCCCTACAGGCTGTTCCACGCACAGAGGCTGACCAACACTAACCTGCTCTTCGTGGTAGCCGAGAAGCCTCTGTGCAGCCAGTGCGAGGCTGGCCGGCTGCTGCAAAAGGAAACACACTGTATCCTGCCCCCGTCCCCCCCAGCCCTCCCCCACTCATCCCCCTATGTTACCGCCTCCTTGACTCCCCACTCATGCCCAGCGGACGGCCCGGAGCAGTGTGAGTTAGTACAGAGACCGCGCTACCGAAGAGGACCACACATCTGCTTTGACTACAACGCGACGGTAAGTGGGAAGGGGGCAGCGGACCTGCCATTCCGCCACCCCTCAGTCTGCTTGCACCAACTCAATCCTTTCCGCTCCCTGCAGGAAGATACCTCAGACTGTGGCCGTGGAGCCACCTTCCCTCCGTCGCTGGGCGTCCTGGTCTCCCTGCAGCTGCTGCTTCTCTTGGGCCTTCCTCCCCGGCCGCAGCCTCAAGTCCATGCCCACGCTGCCTCGCGCCGCCTCTGAGCTCCCTGCACCAGCCCCCTAGCCCCGCCCCTATCCCGCCCCTACACTTCTAGCCTGAGAGCCACGTCCCTCCCTAAGTGAAGGACCTGAACTGGGGGTAGGGGGGCCTAGAACCTGTCTCACTGCTAAATTGTCCCCAAGTGTCCCCAGACCCTGGACTCACGCCTGCGTGTTCAGACAGGGAGGCCACGTGTACCGGTGCCAAACCAAGCCTCCTCTGCCTAGGCAATCAAGCCTCAGCTGGACTCCAATCTGGTCCCCCTGCCCCACCCTAAACCTAGTTTCCCTGGGAATAATGGAGAAAGCTGAGATGGCAGCTTAAGGCCCTTGCATCCACAGTCCTGGTGGGAGAGAGGTTCTGGGGCAGCCCCCCACGCACTCCTACCCCTTTCCGGCCGACAGTCCTCATCCCCAACCTGCAGGTGTCAGGACAGTCTCACAGTGACATCAGTTTAGACACAACCCCACACACACCTGGAACCCAGAGAGCAGCAGCTAGATATAGCCTAGAGGGCACACACAAACACAGACACATAGACACACCATGGGGGAGGGGGGAGGGGGGCTCAAAAAGCCTTACACAGGGTGAGGAGTGGTGGGAGGGTTGGCACCTGCACACTCCATCTCCTACTCGCCACCTGCCTCAAATCTGAGCTGGAGCCAGCCAGTCCTCCCATCGCAAAAGCTGAATGTCAAACAGTGCCAAATGCTAGGGCAGGGGGTAAGTCTCTGTCCCACCCCAAGCCACCAGTGTCCTCCAAGTACCCCTCACCTTGCCAGGTGCTCATTGTAACCATTTCCACTAGTGTCAGACCCCCAGTGGGACCACATGCCACTGCCTGCACCCCACTGGCAGAGGAACCTCCACCAGACGTTGCCCTTCGCCTTAGCAGGGATGTCTTGATCTCCTGGCTGGGCCATCCTGCCCCCAATCTGGCCCTTACACCAGCCTGTGCCCATTCCCTGTTTCCTTCCACCCTTCCACCCTCTTACACACACACACTCCCTGCCCCCAGGCCAAACTGTCCCTCCCCTGCTGAACACACACTTGCACACACAATGTACACACAAAGACTAGGCCTGGGCACATCTCTTCACAGCATTCATTCTGGTCATTTTCCCAGCCTGGGGGCCATTTGGGGACTGAGGACGGGGGATGTAGCCATGGGGCTCAGATGGACTGGGAGGAGGGGGGAGGGTGATACATTAATTAATGGCTCCATTAATTAATGTCACGTTGCTTGTTGCTTTCTCAGTGTGTGTGTATGGTCCATGCCCGCTGCCGGTGCCAGGGTGGGTATCTATGATGTGTGCCCAGCCTGGATGTCAGTTGTGTTCTGTGGGGGCGTGTGTGTAACTGTAGTGTAGTTAGGTGCTCAATGGAGATATAAAAATAAACATATACAGAAAAATATATATTTTAAGTTTTTAAAAAATCCGACAAAGCAATTCCCATCAGGTAGTTGTCCAACCCCCAGCTGGGTCTGATCCTTCTCATCACCCACCTGACCTGGCTGCCCCCTCACTTGGGCTGGGGGCTTGGGGGGCCATTTCTTTTTCTCTGCCCTTTTTTTGTTGTTGTTCTATTTTGTACAGACAAGTCAGAAAAACAACAGCAACAAAAAAGTCAAGATACTTTGTAAAATATTGTGTGTGTGATTCCTTGTAAAATATTTTCAAATGGTTTATTACAGATCAGTTATTAAATAATGTTCATATTTTCACTTCAAACATTTTCTGTCTACTATGTGGGACTTGGGGTCAGAACTGGGTAGCTATAAAGACAAGAGGTCAGGAACTTAGAGTTCCACTCTGCTCTGTGAGGAGCAGTCCAGGTCTCCACTAGTGACAGGGCATGATGCTCCAACACCTCCTCAAATGCAGGTCTTTGTCCTATTTTGTCTCATTTCATCTCACAAACCAGGAAAAAGCTGACTTTTTTTTTTTTAAAGCCTCCCAGAACCTCAGGGCAAAGCCAGGACCCTGAAGGAAATAAGACAGTAATGACAAGCAGTTTCAGGCTGGGCTCCTGCCATCTGGTCAGACTTTGGGGGCCACACAAGAAGCCAGTGCCTAGCCAGACGTGGTGGCGCACACCTGTAATCCCAGCACTGGGGAGGCTGAGGCAGGAGGATCACTGAGAGTTCGAGACCAGCTTGAGCTACACAGTGAGTTCCAGAGCAGTCTGAACTACATAGTGAAACCCCGTCTCAAAAAAACCAAAAAAAAAGCCAGTGCCTGCTGGTGCTCTAGGGCCCATCTTGCTGTTCCTAGGAGGCTAGGGTTAGGCTTACCCACAAGCAAGTGGAGCCAAGGAGAGGCCAAAAGCCAAGCCAGTTTTTGCAATGCTTCTGGCAAGTCAGGTCCTTCACCCTTGTTCACTTTATCTTCAACCCTAGCTCATGTGACCTCTGCACTTTTCATAGGAAGAAAATTGTAATTATTATTGAAGAGGTTTCCTGTTGGGTGGGCACTTAAAGCACCATTTTTCCAACACACATAGAGCCAAGGACTCTGCTTAATCTGCACTGATGGCAATCCAGCTGATCCTAACCATAATCTTATGAGGTGGTACAAGTGTATCTCCGTAGCACAGATGAGCAAACAGAGTGGACATACCTGCCCCCCCGCCCCGGGTAACAAGGGTAAATAATCAGGAAAGCTCTCATGAGATGGCCAGCAGGAAGGGGCCTTGAATGCTAAACAGACGAAACAGAACATTCCAGGGCCAGGCATGGTGGTGCTCTCCTGTAATCCCAGCACTGAAGGAGCCTGAGACAAGAGGATCAAAAGTTCAAGTCCCACCTGGGCAACATAAAAACTTGTCTCAGAATATAGAGGATGTCCAGGCATGGTGGCCCACAGCTATAACTCCAGCACTGGGGAGGCTGAGGCAGGAGGATTGCTGTGAGTTTGAGACCAGCCTGGGCTACAAAGTGAGTTCCAGGTCAGTCTCAACTACATAGTGAGACCCTGCCTCAAAAAAATACATAGAGGATGGGCATGGTGGTGCACTGTAATCCCAACACTTGGAGGGCTGAGGCAGGAAGATTATCATGAATTCAAGGCCAGCCTGGGCTACACAGTGAGTTTAAGGCCAGCCTGAATTAGAGTGAAACTCTGTCTCAAAAAACCAAAGATAAAATAGTAAAATGTAGAAAGGGCTGAGGATGTTGCTCAGTGGTAGAGCGCACCTGAGTTTGGTACCCAATATTTAAAAAAAAAAAAAAAGAAAAGAAAAAGCCAGGCGTGGTGGCACATGCCTGTAATCCCAATACTTTGGAGGCTGAGGCAGGAGGTTCGCTGTGAGTTCGAGACCAGCCTCAGCTACATAGTGAGTTTCAGGTCAGTCTCAACTACATAGTGAGACCCTGTCTCAAACAAAACAAGAAAAAAAAAAAAAAAAAAAAAAAAAAACAGGCATTCCAGGCCTCAGCCAAGAAAGGGCTTTCCTCATTCCTCCACAGGGGTTTGACTGTAGAGCAACACCTAACACTTGATCACAGAACAATACCTAACCATCAACCCTTATAAAATACAATTTTGAGTTTCAGATAAATAACACTAGTTTTTTTTAATAGGGAAGTGTGTTTCTATTATATCTCACAATTTGAAAACTTGTAGTGCTAATACATACAACTTGTAGAGCTAGTGATGTGGCTCTGTGGAATAGTGCCTACCTAGCATGTGTGGGGCCCTGATTCTATCCTCACTATTCCCAATAAAACTTTTAGGTTAAGCCTCCCGAACCCCATCCTCATCCTTTGGCTTTTGGTACTTGTTCACTCTCCTCCACAACGCAAGAATTGGTGGAAATAGCCCTGAAAACTACAACTCCCAGAACACCCTCCTCCACTAGGCCGGGAACGGCCTGGGTACACAGCTTCCTGTGACTTGCAGTTCTACCCAGAATCCTATTCGACTGGTACTCGGCTGAGGGCCGAGGACTCTGTATCCCAGCATGCCAGGGAGCCGGAAGACAAACCCTCGGAGGGCATCTGCTCCCCCACCGCCACCAGCGAGATGCGCGTGCGCAACTCCCCTGTTTGTCGGCCCCTGAAAAGCGAAGGGAGCTACTGAAAGCCAAGGCCGAAGCCGAGGGGGAGCTGACCTCATTTGACTGGGACCTGGAAAAAGGCTCCAGTCTGGTGTGGAGCAAAGGGCCCCAGCGTGGATGGAGAAGGTTCAGCCGTGAAATCAACGCTAGCCCGACCAGCCTGGCACAAGGCCTACAGGGAGAGCCGAAGTCGCCCAGGACCTTCCCTCAGGGGCCGGACAAGAAGCCTAAGCTCGGGCGCGGAAACCAGGCCCAGCTTGGCCCTTCGGAAACACACAACGACCCGCCCGGAAGCCAAACCTTCACCAGGGCCATAGGCCGGTGACGAGGCCGCGCCCGGGCCTCCCTTCGGGGCTGGACTGGGAGGAGGCCCCGGGGAGGCCCCTGGCCCCCCGCTTAGCTCCCCTCAGGCCGCCGCCCACCAGGAAGATGCAGCGCGCCCTTCCAGGTGCCCGCCAGCACTTGGGGGCTATCCTGGCCAGCGCCAGCGTGGTGGTAAAGGCGCTGTGCGCGGCGGTACTGTTCCTTTACCTGCTGTCCTTCGCCGTGGACACGGGCTGCCTGGCTGTCACCCCAGGTTACCTCTTTCCGCCCAACTTCTGGATCTGGACCCTGGCCACCCATGGGCTGATGGAGCAGCACGTATGGGATGTGGCCATCAGCCTGGCCACAGTGGTAGTGGCAGGGCGTTTGTTGGAACCTCTCTGGGGAGCCTTGGAGCTACTCATTTTCTTCTCGGTGGTGAATGTGTCTGTGGGGCTCCTGGGGGCCTTCGCCTACCTCCTCACGTACATGGCTTCTTTCAACTTGGTCTACCTGTTCACTGTCCGTATCCATGGCGCCCTGGGCTTCCTAGCTGGTGTCTTGGTGGCACTCAAACAAACTATGGGAGACTGTGTGGTCCTGCGAGTGCCCCAGGTGCGTGTCAGCGTAGTGCCTATGATGCTACTGGCACTGCTGCTACTGCTGCGGCTAGCCACTCTGCTCCAGAGTCCAGCACTGGCTTCTTACGGATTTGGGCTGCTCTCCAGTTGGGTTTATCTTCGCTTCTACCAGCGCCATAGCCGGGGCCGAGGGGACATGGCTGACCACTTTGCTTTTGCCACCTTCTTCCCTGAGATCCTGCAGCCAGTGGTGGGGCTGCTGGCGAACTTAGTGCATGGCATCCTGGTGAAAGTAAAGATATGCCAGAAGACAGTAAAGCGCTATGATGTAGGAGCCCCATCCTCCATCACCATCAGCCTACCAGGCACAGACCCTCAAGATGCTGAGCGTCGAAGGTACTGTGAAATCTTCCAAAATCTTAGCAAGCTAGCATTTTGGTCGAATCACATGCCATCTGTCAAGGTGGTTGCTGCACATAGTCTGGTGACCTATAGTTGTTAGGTAGGTCCAGAAAGAGAGAAGATCCAGTCTTTGGTCTTGAGAAACCTAGCATATAGCTGTCAGGGTTCTGCTATGTGGTTTTCTCAACACTTCAACAACTTAAACAAGTCTCAAGAAATGCTAAGTTTCCTTTGGTGCTGTGTAAGGGGCTAATGGAGGTCTGCCACGCCTGGCCTTGCTTCAGAATCTCCAAATCCTACACACTGATCCCTGGGATCCAGAAACAGCTTGTTAGTCCTTTCTGCCCTGTGAAGAGGCTAAAGGGAAGGATGACTGGGGTCCTTAAAAGATAGTCTGAGCTGGGCACCATAGTATACACCTGTAATCTCAATTACTTGGAAGGCTGGGCTGAAAGATCATAAGTTTGAGGCCAGGAGAGACCCTGTCTCAGATGTGGGGGAAGGGAAGTGTAGCTTAGTGGCAGAGTGCATGTGTAACGTGCAAAGCTCTGGATTCAACCCCCGACACTACAAAAAATTAATTTTTAAAATGTAGAGGCCAGGGATTTAGCTCAGTGGTGCCGCCACCTGCTTCGCAAGTGCAAGGTCCAGAGATCGATCCCCAGTACCAAAAAAAAAAAGTAGGGCCAGGCGTGCAGGCATGGTGATACACTCCCAGCACTCAGGAGGCTGAGGTAGGATAGCTGCAAGTTTGATGCCAGCTTGGGCTACACAGTAAGTTCAAGACCAGCCTAAATTACATACATTGTGAGACCCTATCTCAAAAAATCAAAATAATAAAATAGTAAAAACTAAAATAATAAAAATAATAATGTAAAAGGGCTGAGAATGTAGTATATTGATAGAGCACTTGCCCTGAGTTCAGTCCCTGGTACTACAATGAAGAAAGGTGTTGTAGGCCACCCTAGTTTCCAAGTGCTGGACTATGCCCTCTTTCTGAGACTTAATTCAGAAGTTGTACTTCTCTGCCACTTATTTAGGGAAGCGTGCGCGATTATCATATTTACCCACCCCCATTCAGCAGGCTTGTGTCACCAAACCCAGGACACAGGCTGACTACAGGCTGACCCCACCTCAGAAGCTTGCTGATCACATCAGAAAATGGAGATATTTGCATTATCTGTAAACCAAGCTATCTGCAGCATCAGAAGTCCCAACTGAATTATTCACTGGATGCACTTTGACCAAGACAGAAGAAATCTTTTTTAATTCACCTTTTTCTCTCCCAGATCTGTGGATTCCTCAGAGCAGTCAATTTCCAGAAAGTCCACAGCTCCATCATTCTCAATATTATTTTGGGGGGGTTTTATTTTAGGTGTGTTTTTCTGTTTTGTCTTGAGACGGGTTCTCACTTTGAAGCCCAGGCTGGCCTCATACTTAGCCCTCCTGCCTCAGCCTCCCAATTGCTGGGATTGTAGGTGTGTGACATCATGCCCAGTTTATATTGAATTTTTTAAAGCAATCTGGTGATGGCTCTTTTTCCTTTGCATTTGTCAAAGATTCATGCTTTTTCCCATTTGTAAAATGGGTTCTCTATGAACAAGAAACTATGAATTTAGCAGAAGTTATCCCTGAGCACTCTCTTCCCTGGGGCTGTGCAGTTTGAGTGCAGAATACATCCCTTCCTTGAAAGTTTCAAGGCTGGGTGGGCCCAAGTGATATGTGTGGAAAAGTACTCACAGCTTACTTGCAGGGTCTGTTTTTGGGCCCTACAGCTTAGATCTCTGGGTGGTAAGTCCTAAAGACAGGGGTCTGTCTCAGTCTTATCCAGTAGAGGAAATGGAGCCAGGAGGGATAGACTTGGGAGGAACTGCGCTGCCCTTTGAAGCTGTGCTGATGGGAACAGGCCAGTGGTGATGGCCTCTCCTGTGAGTTCTTAGATTATTAGGGTTGACTGGAAATTCAGAAAATATCTACCCAGGTCCAGGAAAATGGACAGAGGAGGCAGGGAGAGGTGAAGCAAGAGGTAAGCTATGGACATAGATTATGATGTTAGTTTACATGGAGGTGATATCTGGCTGCATGTCACTCTCAGACCTAAAGAGCTACTAGTGGGAAAGCAGTGTTTCCCATCTGTCCCTTTGACCCTTGTGAGAAAGTGACTGTCATGACACTATCTCTGTCTTGGTCAGCTTTAGAACTGGCAAGGGCATCTCTGGGATGGGAGACTTGGCAGCAAGAGGAAAGGACTGTCCTATCAATGCCAACTTGCCATATGCCAGGTTGGAAGGCAAGGGAAAGTATGCTGGGTTTTCTATGTTCATGACTTTGTTGCCTCTTCTGTCTTATTCTGTGGTATGGTAGAGATTTATAGGCTGTCCCCATTTTGGTGGCACACAGAAGATGAGGCATCGGCGGTCCACAATGACCACTGTTAGAAGTGTTACCTGGCAGCATGGTCACTCACTTTCTGGTAGGCCAGGGTACCAAACATATGGAAATACCTGCGACTGGACTTTCCCATCTGCCTGCAAAGTGGCACCTTCAAGTGTCTGCCCCAAGGAAACACCAGGCTCTGGCCTGGGCCCTACCCATATGAGCTGTTTCTCTCCCTATGAGGGCTCTAATTGCCTGTGCTAACACAGGTGTTGGTGGATTCAGGGAATTCTTCTAGGAAAGAAGGTGTCAGAGGTAGGAGGGGTAAACTGACCCAAATTGGCCTGCTTCCTGGGCTGAGTGCACAGGGAGGTGCTAAGTGCCAGCTTTTCTCAAAGACCCTTGCCAAGATATTTGAGATACTAGGACAAAGGAAGAATTACTACCCTTCTCCTTGGATGTGACACCAGTACCCGGGCAGGAGTCATTTTACCCATCAGTCCTGGAGCACTAGGTCCAATCACCCTTAGGCAGCAAACTTAGAACCATTCCTGCTGCCTGGCCTAGTGGGTAGTCTGGCAGATATCCAGCTGCCCTTTTCAGCCTAGAAGGGCCCCAGGTATGAAAAGAAAACGCTATAGCCTTTGGGTCCTCATTCTGATTGCAGAGTGGACCCTAACCCAATCTCTGAGGCGTACTAGGACCTCATGGGAAAGGGGAAACATGGGATTCTGGGAGAGAAGTGATAGGGGGAGATAGCAACAGGTGAAGGGTGCAGGGTATGCAGCAAATACAAACTCACAGTGACCTTTCCTTCCTGTCTCTTCTGACTCTAGGCAATTGGCCTTGAAGGCCCTGAATGAGCGGCTGAAGAGAGTGGAGGACCAGTCCGTCTGGCCCAGCATGGATGATGATGAAGAGGAGGCCGGGGCCAAGGTGGACAGCCCCTTGCCCTCAGAAAAATCTCCTACAACTCCAGGGAAGGGGGCTGCCTCAGAATCCAGTCTCATTACCTTTGAAGCAGCTCCCCCAAAGCTGTAACTCTAGACCACCTTGAGTGTAGCATTTCTTCTCCCAAGCCCCCTTGATGCCTCTCAGGTACTCCAGGGCATGACCACTCTGAGGAGAGGGAAGAAGGCCTTCTGGGGGGCTTTCAGGGCCTTCTTTTTCTTGCCAACACTACCAAGGACCCTTGCTACCTGGTTCCAACTCCAGACAACCAGTAAGTCAGGCCTGGGATTTCTGATGCATCAATCAGTCTAGGCCCCTATCTGAGGTAAGATTGTACCTCAGCAGGCAGCCCCAGGCAAGTGGTCACAGAGACACTGGTGCCACAGCTCCTGGGCCAGCCTTCACATCTGAAACTGGTTGCCAAGAACCCTGAGCCAAGGCAAGGATTTGCATTTGCCAAAAATGTTATGGGTGCCCAGCCAGTGCAAGAATCAGTGTGAAGCTGCACATCCCTGCCCACCCCCAGAAAGACTGAGTTTGACAGGATTTCTTGTTTCCCTCTGCTACAGCTGTGACTGCTTCTGGGCCAGAACAGCCACAGTTCCCACGTATTTTCTACAGGACCACTTGAGTGGGCAGCCAAGCCCAGCCTTGGAGTATCAATAAAGCATTTCTTTGAGGTATGAGTCCTGGGCTGTATCAGGCCACACTGTACAGCCCTTCATTATGCTCAACTGCAGTTAGATGGTCTTTACTTTGGGTTCAAGGACTTTGTCTCCATGGCATCTGTACCTGGATAGAAAGCCCACTCCTCCACTTCTCTTTACGTGCCTGCTGCCAGGCAGCCTTCTCAGAACCATAACCTCAGACCTTTACTCCTTTTTCTTTCCCTCCAGTTCCCAGGTGGGAATCCTCTCTGCCCCTTTCCAGAGAATCTGATAGGCGAGGCCCCTACATCATAAGCAATTGCTCTTGCCCATGATTCACCTCTAAGACAGAGTGCTCTGTGCCTGCCATCTTTGGAGACAGCCCATCCTGTCATTGTCTACATCTAATCATCATATTCTGGAGACTGGCACAGTCCATAGCTGGGAGATGGAGAGGACATACAGCTTTACCACTCACAGCTATAGCTGTATGACCTGCCAGAGCCCTGGACAGCATGGGAAACTCAGCAGTCAATCTTGGGGACCTGTTTTCTGGGAGAGCTTTCAACATTCAGAAGAGGTCCCCACCTTGCTCAGGTGCCTGTTTTCTTGTGCTGAAGGCATTAGTGAGAAGCAGCCCGGTGTTGGGGATGGGTTTACATGGAGGTGATATCTAGTTGCATGTCACTCTCAGACCTAAAGGGCTACTAGTAAGAAGGCAGTGTTTCCCATCTATCCCTTTGATCCTTGACCAGCAACTCTGGGCTGCTGCTCCCATCAATGTTTTTATATAATTTTATTTTCTTTCCCTCAATCATTTCTGGATATACCAGCACAAGTAGGAACTGCATTGCTGGGGAGGCAGTCTTGCAACCCCAATTTCATCCAGACACATGATCCATATGCTCCCCTGGGATGGTGCAGAGAGGAGAAGGAAAAGGGAGGCACATGAGGAGCAAAAATGTCACACGTGGGTTTTCTGTGACTGCCCCAATGCCTGAAGTATCCCCTGACCCAATCAGCAGACAGTCCAGGAGGTTCCCAGCCCCAGCACCTATCCTGAGGGGCAAATCTAGCTTCCCCTTGGCCTGGAAGAGCTCATGGCTGGATCCTCTTGCGGTACAGGTAGGCATTGCTCACCTGATTCATGATGACCAAGCTGGTAAGAACAGGGCATAATAAAGCTAGGTACCAGGCTCCACCAGTGACAGAGGCAGTGAACCACAGTGAGCACATGCCCAGCAAGAGGCTGGCACTACCCAGCAGGTAGCCCACCAGCCCAGAAGTGGCATGGTATAGTTTGAGCTTCGCCAGGGACCATCGGGGCAGCAACTTGGGGTACAGCAGCCCAACACCACCTGCACATTGCAGCCCTGCCCACAGTACAGCTAGCAGCCCTGCCTGCCCATGCCGCGTGGCGAAGTGGGCTTTGCCAAGCTGCTCTTTGTGGAGGATAACGAGGCCCAGGCCCAACAGTGCACAGAGCAGGGCCAGCAGCTGCAGTACCCAGTGACAACAGGCTCGACCCTTCCTCGAGAGGGAGCGCAGCAGTGAGCTCTCCGGAGAGAACACCAGTAGTGCCTCGGTCATCAGGAAGGAGAACTGAGGAGACAGGAGTAGAAGAAGTGAGTGAGGGTGCTATGGCAATAGAGGGAGGGCCTTAGATAACCTTTCAAGATGTCAATGCACCTGAGCTGATGTCCCTTTTCATCTCTCTCCACTGACAAGACTCCACTAGGTGGAGCAAGAATGGAGAGCTCCATCTGGGGCAGGACAACTGCTCTGACTGGTTACGTTCACCACACTTCTTCCTAGGTGCTATTCTGAAATGTCATCTCTGCTGGGTTACCCAGCAAACAAGGTTGAGATGTGACAGCTATAAATGATTCAAAAACTCTCCACATGGGCTAGATACAGTTTCTTGGCGAAAGCTGGCCACATGGGTGCACTGTTTCAGAAGAAATTCGATATGTCAGCATAAATTAAGGTAAAGGGGGATGAGAGCATCCAAATATAATTTTTCAGCTCCCTGCCTGGAAGTAGAAGCCTCATTTTGTGCTTAGACATCTGTTCCAATTCAAGCCTGGAATGAATTATTTATATGTATGTATGTATATATATATATACATACACACACATATATGAATGAGTTGGGGCATGTATCTCCTCCAAACAGACACTAAGTGTCCATACAGATTCAGGGGCACCACCCATACCCATGCTCCCACCCGTAAAAGCTACACAGACCCACTACTTACAGCCAGGGACATAAGCACAGGGTGCCAAGAGAACAGACCTGGAATGAGAACAGGAGGATTCATCTGGCTGAGGCAACAAGAAACTAGTTTTACCAATCCCTAAGGCTGAGCAACATGATGGGCAGCCCATCACTTGTGCTGCCAAAATGTGAGCCTCTTCTTGCTGCAACAAACTGACTTCACACCCATCCTCTCTTCCTGGACCAGATGTTTTGCCATTCATGTAGCACCTCCCAAATGAAACACCATGACAAGGAAAGAGAAATGAGGTATTCTGTGGGGCCTGACCAAGCTGGTAGAGCTTGACAGAGCACCTATCTGCTCCACTCAGAACATTATCCTTCCAGCACAGAATATTTTTCAGCAAATCAGGCCTGTTCCTAGGAGTCAGGCCCTACTAGTAGGGTCTCCTACTGCCCCTGTTCCCCAAGAAGTAAACTATGAATTCTACTTACTGGAGCCAGGCCTGGCAAGTACAGCCACAAAGATGGTAAAGCCTAGGGCCACGAGGTGAGCTGCAGCCCCAGAAGCAGTGCGCAGAGCTCGGTAAATGTGCGACTCGGTCTCCACAGAAAGGGCCATGGTCAGCCGGACCAGCAGCTGTAGCCTGAAAGCGCAGTACATTGGCAAGAGTCACTCTCAAAGCCTCTCACAGGAGAAAGGGTTATATAGGGCAGGAATGTCACCCTTGTGCAAGAAGTTATGGTAGGAAGGAACAGGCCAAACCCGGCACCAGGAATAGTCACAAATTCCCAGTAGAGGGCCGGCAACCTGTCAGCATCTACCTATCTGAACTGGTATTGATCGCTAGACCACCTTTAAAGTAGGATGCGCAAGCTCATGAAACACTACAAATCCCAGAGTGCATCACGCCGTCGCTCACAGGAGCGCCAGCTGGGAGAGCGTGGAGCACTCCGGAAGTTGTAGTTTCTAATTGCGTGATCGGTTACATCCTGAATCCCTTTGAGCACGGCATCCCCACGTGCCACTAGCATGCTACAGCTCCACGCTAGGGATTGCCCGCCTCACCTACAGCGCCGACCCGATATGGTGCTTTTCTCCAAAACAAGCTGGGTGCTCGGCGCCCTGCCGCACGAGCTGCCGCTCCGTCAAGGAGCAGCTTCACTTCCGGGTGCGACAGCTACCCATCCAGGATTTCCTGGGACAAGCCCCCCCCCCCCCCCCCCC